CTGCAAACACCATGAATCAAAGAATTAATTCAGCAAATTAATTCTCTTAGGTTAATAGGCCTCTGGTCAGGGGGCTGTGCCAAGAAAAGTAGAAGACGATGTGAGATAACTTGCTTAAATTTCACCTCCTTTATAAGAATTCGTAATAAATACGATTTTTCTGTAACAGTTTCTGTATATGCATAAGAAAGAACCTGAAAGAAAGAAAAGGAAGTCTTTGATATTTTCTGACGAAGACTCTTGCTGAGAGTTGGTGTGCTCTCTTTGATAGAAACCAACAGTTTATTAAAACCAGAAGAGGGCAGACCCCCCTATCTGAGGTCAGTGGGCCCAAATTGATCTTTTAGAACAGACCAGATGTGGCATGCTCCCATCAAACACAAACAGCCCCAAAGAAAGTCCAGGGTGGTTAGAAAGAGGCAGCAAAGGGCTAGACAGATGGTATTCAACAGGTTGCTGGTAGTCTGCTTCTAAGTATTTGAAGCTGGGCAGGGGATGAGAGAACTTTCAAAATTTCTTGTAATATTGCTAGCATTTGTAGATAGATTTTTGCTTTGTGCAGGCTCTGCCTCATAACTCAGTTAACACTGTGTTAGGAAAGTAGTAATATAATCAGCAGCCCTAAACATGTTACAGTGCTTGTTAAAATTTGGTTGATTTCATGCAATTTTTGCCACCTAACGTAGAAGACAAGGCAGTGGATTGGATGTGACAGACTTTGGCTTTAATTCTGACTGTGCACTGACTGTACAACCTTTGGCAAATCACTTCTTGTCTCTTCCTCTTTCTTCTATAATTTGACATTACAGGTCAGCAGCTCTTCTGGGTGAGCATTCATTTACTTTTTTTTTTTTTTTTTTACAATGCATTAAACAATGTAATGATTATAAAAAAACTATAGCTAAAAGTGCCACTGTATTCACTTTTTATTTCCCCCAGGGAATGTATGTGTTTTTGCATGCAGTAAAGGGAACTCCTTTTGAAACACCTGATCAGGGGAAAGCTAGGCTACTAACACACTGGGAACAACTGGATTATGGAGTACAGTTTACATCTTCAAGAAAATTCTTCACAATTTCTCCTATAATTCTGTGAGTTCAAAACTGTATTATGGATTAATTGAATCATAAAACCATGATTTCAAAAGCTGCAACAAAATGGGTTGCAATTTACATTCTAAGAGGATTTTCTCTCTTTCTTTGCTTGTTTGTTTGTCTCTACATCACAGAGATAGGGAGTACACATTTACAGGCCCTATAATCAACAACCTTTCTCCCTGCAGCTTTTGACACTCCAGTTCATGAACTGAAGTCAAAGTTTGTAAACAGTTATTAATAGAGCAGGTTTTAAAGATTAGAAATGACCTGAGGAAAACGTAACTGTGAACTCTTGAAGTTCTTTAAGAGATTGTGAAGTCATAAATACTGGAAAGCTAAACTAATTGTCTAGCACATGACAGCATCGATTAACCATTTTGCAACTGGTGAGTTACAATGAGAGTGGCAGTCCTCACTGAATGGGTTCCAGGATTTTGCATGTAGGTTTTGCTTTGTACAGATTGTCTTCTGTTTACGCTAGTTAGGTAAATAGATTAGAAATTCTACACCACCTGTCTCTGTCCACAAAAGTATGGTTGTGTAACTAAAGGAAATCAGATACCTATTTAATATGCAACTCTTAAAAGCCTTTCTGTTTTTCCCTGAAGGAAGTTTCCCACTTGCATGGCAGGGTTGGGGGGGAAGGGAAGATCCTGCATTGTGTTTATAAAGTTGGCTCACAAAGGATAGGAACTGAAAAAACATATATAACTCCTCAAAAGAAAAAAATCCTGTTTCGCTTCCCACTTTCCAGTGGGAATTCTGTGTTCGTAACACTTGTGTATGGTTCTGTTAGTGAACTAATGATGTGTAAGTAGCTGAATAAACATCTCTGTTTTGCTGGGAAGAAAACCCCAACAATGTGATAGCCTCATTTCTCTGACTAGTTTTTGCAAAGAACAAGATGAAATTATTGGCTCAAAGCGTAAAGAAGTTGGTGGTGAATTGGTTTTTCTGAGGCACATTTGCTTATTCTTGCAGTTGAACAGGTTGTGGGCTAGCTTAAAAGAAAAAGGTGCTGGAAACATCTGCCAAATGGGAAGCATTTTAAAATCACGCCGATCCCAGATATGCTCATCTTAAATGATTTTTGCACTGAAAAATGTCAAATGTTTTGTCACAGATCATGGTAGGGTAGCAGAACTGCAGATATTTTGGTAGCAAACTATTTAAAACCTGTATCATAAATCAGGCTTGTAGCTGCAGAAGTCAGACTCGAGCTTGAAGGGTGGAGAGAGGTGCTGGAGGGAAGTATTGGCAGAATTGGTTTTTAGCAACTTGGGAAGTGTGGGAAGAAGAGACTTTTCCATAATTTTTCTGCAGATATTCTAGAAGCTTAGGTGAGATATTCAATACGGGAATAGATCAGTTGTTAACCAGTGGAATATTACTGATTACTAAAGCACTTCTTTCAGCTATGCTTTGTTTATTTTTCAGACAAGGGTGTCATGGGCTATGCGTGCTCCCTTTTCTCCCGCAGGTACTTTCTGGCGAGTTTCTACACCAAGTATGATCCAACACACTTTATCCTCAACACGACCTCTCTCCTGACCGTGCTGATCCCCAAGCTGCCACAGTTGCATGGTGTTCGAATCTTTGGCATCAATAAATATTAAGCAGAAGGTTTGGTGCTGACCGCTCCTGACATGGCTGCTGCTCCCCAGGTGAAGGAAACAAGTAGCGTGCTGTGCTGTGTATCTAACCGTACTCATGAGGGATGCTTTTACATCTGAGAGACAAGTCTTACTTCCTGCAGCACTGTCTGGGATGAAAGTTGAGCTTATAAGAAGATGCCTTCAAATACTTAAATGTGAATCGGAGACCTCTAGGAGAAAGATTTCCATGAAGAGCTGGGCAGGCCCAGCTCCAAAGCGTAATCCCCACTGAGACTGTGTGTGTGCCTGGCTGACGCAGGTGACTTGTAAGGAAGGTGCAAGTAACAGCTGAAATGGAGAGCAGGGTTTTATAAATACCCAGTCAACCATGATGCAAATGGTAACTTTACATATAAATCCAGGATCCTCAATACCAAGGGCTGGTGAGGCTGCATTCTTAGATTAGGTGAAAGTAGCTAGTTTCTGCTGTATGGATTGTAGGTGGTTGTGCTTGTTACTGCATTGTAGAAGCTTGTCTCGCAGTAAGTACTGTGACAGCTAGCATAAACTGGTGGTGTAATTCATGCCTTATCTGTTGTGATTTTTTTTTTTTGTCACGAAGACTGAAGAAAGTCCTTAACTGTCAGCTCAGGGGATTTCTACATCAACTTGATAGCTCAGTTTATGTACGCTTTTACGAGTTGCCACTGTTGTGTTTATTTCATTTTGCTTACCAGGATACTGACTTTTCTATGTGTAAATGGGACATCCTGAAAAATTTAAATTTCTTTTAAGGTGTGGATTTTTGACTATTTTTCTCTGACACTTGACTGATGGGTTACTTTTCAGTAGCTGAGAGGCCTGTAATGGTGGGGAAAAGGATTGCTGCTGGTGCAGGAGAAGCAGCTCAAGTAGAGAGCAGCAATGTCAGAACACGAAGAGAGAAACTCTGTCTAGGTTACGACTTAGAAGCCAAACTAGAAGTAGGTGAATAGGCAAATCACATGAACGAACTGTATGCTTTTGCAGAAGAAAGGTATAGATAATTTGCATGTCTTGGAAATGTGGAGGAATGCTGTGTTTTAGGGGTACTATGTAGTACTGAGTAGTCTTGTATATAATCAACTCTGGAACTAGAGTGTAGGAGGTACATCTGGAGCTCTGAGCGCTTATTTCTCTGTCATCTTGGAAAAATGAGTAATTTTGAAGTATACCGTATGTCTGTCAGCCAAAACCGGCTCAGATTTAACAGAAGACTCCATTTAAGACTTGATTTACATTTTGGTTGCAGCGACAGCCAGTGAGCTGGGAAAAAAAAAAAAAAAAAAAAAAAAAAAAAGCCCGGAGTGGCATACTTCTTTTCTTGCTAAGAGAATCTTCTGGCTATTTACTTTCTTGATAAAGATGATATTAAAAGAAAAAAAAAATAATAAAAGTGAGTTAAGAAATTTTTTTAGCACTTGAAGTAATTCTTGGTGTTATTGGTACAGAGAGCGGTAACTGTAATTTTAAAATGGCCACCCCCAGGCCACCCCAGCCCTTCGAAAAGCGCTGTGCTGTGTGGAGGGGACGGAACTGCCCGGCCCAGAGCCCCGGGGGGCCGGGCCGGGCCGGGCCGGGCCGGGCCGGGCGGTTGTGCAAACCTCTCGGCGTGCGGCATCCCGCCCGCTCCCGGTTCCCGCCCGGCCGGGCGCTGAGGCGGCGGCAGCTCGGGCCGGGCCGAGCCGCTCTGCGCCTGCGCCGGCTCCGCCCCGTGACCCGCGGGTGGGCGGCAGGCCCACGGCCGTGGGCCGGGCCCGCGGGTGGCCGTGAGCCGGGGTGCGGGGGCGGGGCCGGGCGGTGGGTGCTGCCCGGGCCCGGAGGGAGCGGGAGGCCGGGGCGCCTTGACCCGCCGCCCGCGGAGGCGGTTCCGTGGGGCCGCGGAGGAGGGGAGCGAGCCGGCAGAAGGGGAGTTGGGGGTCAGCACTGCTGGCAGCCGGGCGCGGGGGGCGGCGAAGGGCTCTGCGGAGGGGCACGGGCGTCCTTCGTGGTCGGGGCGTCCCTCCCCGTACACGGCAAGCGTGGGCAGAGCACTCTCCCGAAGCATGATTAAGGTAAAACAAAGGCATTAGTTCCCAACACTTAGTTGTCTTTTTTTTTTTTTTTTTTTGTCTTCCTTAAGGTCTTAAACATAATGTGGGGTCATTTGTAACTTTAAAAGTAGTATCACCTCTTCAGAAAATCAGACCGGAGCACATGCCGGAAAACCCTCCAGTAAAACAACTCTACAGTTGTTTTCTAGACCTAACTACCCGATAGATTTTGAACAATGAACAGCATCGCCAAAAGCCTGTTGAAATCGGTTAAACACGGCCCAGATGCGTGGCTGAGAAGCTGCTCTGCTCACTCTGGGAAACGGCACCTTCGGAAGCTGGTTCTGGGGATAGAGACGAGCTGCGATGACACGGGCGCTGCTGTGGTGGACGATGCCGGCAACGTTCTGGGAGAAGCGCTGCGCTGTCAGAAGGAAGTCCATTTACAGTAAGAATATACTTCTCTCGGGGCTTTCGCCTTACTGATGATCACACTGTTATTCCTACTTGTAATGCCATCTGCGTAAAAGTCTTCTCTCCTCTAGAAAACTCAGTAGGAGGCGGGTAGGTGTAAAGATCTATCCCTTGAGCTGCAACACATTCTGCTTGAGATATTACGAAGGGTGAGGCAAGCAAGCTGTGCATTTAACAAGTTGCCTCTAGTATTTTCTTTCAAAAAGAGAGGAATTATCTAACTTGAATTAAAGATGAAATCATTACTGTCAAAATCACCAAATGTCTCAATTTTTTAAAGGCAAAATGAATCAAATATAGGTAGTGGTGGCTAAGTAAATGAACCAGCAAGTGAGGGCTTGTAAATATTGTTACAGATGTTGCTTTGGAACAGCACTGAGGTACATCTAAGAGGTATGTGTGCCAAAAAAGGGCAAGTTACATCCTCTTCTGACTTCCCAGTGATAATTATGCTCACTTCAGTGATGCCCTTTACACTAAACAAGGCATTTGAGAATTTACTAAGGAAACAGGCAGGATATGGCAAGGTTAAGAGGTGTTTGAAATCTGTTTTGATGCCATTCTATCTGTTACAAAATGCAAATACATTGTTAATTCTTTGTTTTTACTAGAGCAGGTGGAATAATTCCTGTGGTGGCACAGCAGCTTCACAGAGAAAACATCGAGCAAGTAGTAAAAGAGGCGCTTAGTGTCAGTGGAGTCTCTGTCCGTGAGCTTGCAGCTATTGCAACTACAGTAAAACCAGGACTCGCACTGAGCCTTGGCGTGGGGCTGCAGTACAGCTCGGACTTGGTGAACACGTACCAGAAGCCGTTCATACCCATTCATCACATGGAGGCTCATGCACTGACCGTCAGACTCACGCATCACCTGGACTTTCCCTTCTTAGTTCTTTTACTCTCTGGAGGCCACTGCATCTTGGCAGTAGCACAAGGAGTTTCAGATTTCCTTCTGCTTGGACAGTCCATAGACATAGCACCGGGTGACATGCTGGATAAGGTAGCATTTCCTTATCTAAGTGATTTTTTTTTTTTTCTTGCAGTTATACTACATAATGGTACTATTATCATCAGCCTGAGGACAGTAATATAGTGCAATATGGGCTTTACTTAACTTTATCTGTTTTGAAATACCATAGATTTAAGACACAAGAGGCTGTTAAAAATCTGTGCATAGCATCAGTTGTAACATACGAAAATTAGTAATATTTTTAGCAAATAGAGAACATAAGCAAAACTAGTGTTGGAAGTTTCAGTGACACCCATTATACAAACAAGCTCTATGGATTTGAGAAGATTTATAGTGATATTTTAAAGGATACTGTCAGGTTTAAACCGGTACATATTAAAACATTTATTACCCTTTTTTGGTACAGTTTGAAAAGCCTGGTTTGACTTTCAGAATCACCTAAGTTTTCTGGGTGACTGAGGACAATCTGTAAAATCGGTCATTTGCAGTTTTATTTTCAAACACAAGCGTTTTTTAACCAGTATTTCTGTGTCTTAAAAAAATCGGGGAGTAAGTGGAGTCAGAAAGAGGATTGTTGAAATTTGAAACCAACTTTATCTGGTAACACAGTCCTATGTGTTTCCTATAGCATAAAAATTGGGTAGTTTGTGTTTCTGGCAAAATTTGTTGATCCTCAGGTTTGTCCAAATTGTTCTAGAACTTCCAGGAAAAAAAAAAAAGCCAGCTGGCATATGTCTTGTCCTTGCTGTGCCCTGTCCATAATTACAGGTTGGGCTGGATTTTGTGGTGTCTAGTTTTACTCCATGGACTACAATACAGTCATGCAGTTACGGGATAAATAATGTATCTCTCTATTTCAAGTCCGTTGCTTACTATCTCCTTAGGTAGCAAGAAGACTGTCTTTAAGAAAGCACCCCGAGTGCCACGGCATGGCTGGGGGGAAGGCGATAGAGCACTTGGCTCAGACTGGAAACCGGCAACAGCACACTTTCAGGCTTCCCATGCAACAATATCGTAACTGTGATTTTTCTTTTTCTGGACTTCAGACCTGTGTCAATAAAGCCATTATACAAAAAGAAGAAGAAGAAGGTATTTTTAAACAAAGTCAGGTATATACAAACGGTGGTTTTGAGGACCTATACTCTAGAAAACCTGTTTGATCATACATTGTTGCAGGTATTGGAGAAGGTGAGATCCTCTCCTGCGTTAAAGATATTGCTGCTGCCGTGCAGCACGCAGTGGCCGTTCATATTATCCAGCGGACATATCGAGCCATGCTGTTCTGCTTAAAAAATAACATATTATCATCAAAAAATGCAACTTTGGTAGGTATACATTTTTTTTTCCCCTTTTTGTATTTGACTGTAACATCATTTGAAGATGCAGATGCCTTGTTGTACTTTCTCCCTTGACACGTGAGGAAGATGTCAGTATGTATTACATTATTAAAATACCAGGATTCAAGTAATAGTCATATAAATGTTTATAATAAAGTCTTTCATAACTTGTTTTTAAGCTAGGAAGAGATTTTCTTATCCTCTAATCTGACCTTCCATAACAATTCAGGCCACGTAATTTGACCTGTTGCTCCCCAGTACTGGACAGCTGCCCTAGCTGTAACACACTTTTATCCAGGAATCTCTTTTAGCAGAATAAGCTCACTTATACTAATTTCGGATATCTTTTCATCAACAGAGATATGTTTTAATCTTCAAGCATGTTATTTATCGCTGTCTTCAGAACTTCATCTGATAACCTTTCTTTTAAATAGGATGGTAGTAGAATGTGACCCATCAGTACTTTTGAGTTAACGTCTTTTTTCTTTTGGAAACGGCTCTCAGGTTGTATCAGGAGGAGTTGCAAGTAATCAGTATATCCGGAAAGGTCTACAGACTTTGGCAGATGCAAATGATTTTGGTTTTCTGTGTCCTCCTCCAAGACTGTGCACTGATAATGGTGTTATGATTGCATGGTAAGAGTTGTTTCTCTTTGCCTATGTTTCTACAGTGTTCTTTAAAAGTTGAGATCAGACTCAGGAACTTCTGTTTATGGTGACTGAACCACATACCTACACAGATGCAGGGGGTTATGCTGTACCTTTTCACATGATTGCTTTCTTGCTTAGGAATGGCATTGAAAGGTTACGTGCAGGACTTGGTGTTTTACATAGTACTGACGGCATCTGCTATGAACCAAAGTAAGTGACTCAATTCAGTCTTTTTCTTCACTTACTCACTAGTCAAGGGAAGAGGAAGGAGGTATAGGCTAAAGGGAGTAGCAGAAGCTGATGAGGAGTATCTTTGCAGTGCATATAAGCTTAAAAAGTTACCAGCACATCCTTTTCAATGTAGTTGTGAAATACAAATGATGGTGTTTGGCATTTACATTTGCTTTGGCTCAGAAAGTTACATTACCTTATAACAGTTTTATGTATTATTACCTATTAGCATTGTGGTGGTGGAAAACTGGAGCAAGTTAAGGTGTAATACACTTGCCCCTAGCTTCTCAGTCGCTGTAGACATAAATCAAAATGCTTCAAGTCGAACTGTGTATTCATAATGAGCAATCAATTTGGAAAAAAAAAGAAAAAAATTGACATAGAACACCTGATAATACTTTTTTTTTTTTTTACCTAAAACTGATTATTTTTTTTAATGACTTGTTAGGTAAGACTTGTTCTATAGATTTAAGTAGATTTAAGGCCAAACAAAATTCTAGTATTTTAAAACTACCAGCTGGTCTTAAACTTGTATTTTTTTTCAGGTTTTTCCCATTTCCATTTCCAGGAAAGGAAACTTGGAAGGTTTCAGGACAAAAAAAAAAAAGTTGCTTCATAATTTTCACATGAAAAATTGTAAAATACTCTTCTTCACAGATAACTTTCTTTATATGTCTCAGCGAATAAAATACTGAGTTTTACTTGCTGTAGACTATACATTAAGATTACCACAGGAAGAAGTATCTGTGAATTTCTACTGTGTCTTGCATTCATCAGGGAGATGCAAAAAGAACTATCAACTAAAATCAGAATCTAAATAAAACAGCAATCCCCAAAGGTGGCTTTGAAATGACAGGTGTGTTTCCTGGCTTCAGCATGGCTGCAGATCAGACACTTCCCCCCTGTGAAGCTGTGTCTAGGTACAGCTTCAGACGGACCGTTTTAGTGGTCACACAGTCTTAACAGTGCAGGAATCTGCACAAAAACTGTGACTCTCATGCTCACTGTAAACAAGGTCTGTGAATCTGCACTTCTCTGTGATACAGCCATGATGTTACTTATTTTTTAACAAATACATCCTTATTTTATTATTTTCTAGAGCTCCCCTTGGAATTGATATTTCTAAAAGAGTTGAAGAAGATTCCATCAAGGTGCCAAAACTAAAAAAGAAGATACAATGGCTGGCATCTTAAAAAGTTTCTAAGTAAATGCACTTATATATTGTTGAATAAAAACTGTTTCAACACTGTTACATTTACTGACAGTACTTGGTTTACAAGTGTTGAAAATCACCTGTCAGAGATATAAATGTGGTGTGGTATCACCAAAAGGATTCCAGTTACTGTTCCACAACTGTCTAAGAGTTCTAGGTATAAAAACAGTAACAAAAGAAAAAAAATTAAAAGTGCACGTCCTAATAAATGTAAACTTACACAAATGAAAATATCTACATTATTTATACTTTATAACTTACAATAATGTTTATATATTTACAATATCTATTATAATTTAACAATATAATACATAACTTATGCAAGATTTATAATTTACACTACATGTTAAAAAAAAATTATAACTTCCATGATTGAAGAGTTACAGAAAGTAGACACAAGAGAGCACAGATTTTCAGGAAGATCTCAGTGCGTTAGCTGTGCCAGTACAACTGAATTTCAACAGTACCTAATTTGCTGCTGCTGGTGCGAGAAGCCTATTCTTAATTATACAAAATTAAATTTTGGAGCAAGAGGGCTCGTGCCTTTCATTTTTCTCCTTTTTTTTTTTTTTTTTTTTTTAAGAAACATCTCAGTAAACCCAAAACCAGTGTAAGTGAGCTGTTAAGATGCAAGTTCTGAGATTGCATATGAGTAACAGGTTATTTGACCTTGCCTTTTGATAATCAGTATAATATACACTTACACTGTTATTCACTGCAATGGTGTTTACTGGAATAAATACTTCAAGCATTAAGCACCTCAATATTGGATGACAGTAAAGAGTTTTTAATTCATAATGCATATATTTAAAATTGCTTCTATTTAAATACAAACAATTAATTAGGATCTGTGGGACAGGTATAAAAAGATAAGCTGCCTGTGGTTTTTTTAATTATTTAATTCGAGGGCATGATGTACCTAATCCACAAGGTACATGCATTATTTTTTTGACAATATTTAATTTTTGGAAGAAGGTTAAGATCTCTCATTGAACAAAAAACACTGAGAGTAGTATTTACATTTTGTTACGTGGCATTTCTGGAGTCTCGTTTTCATGAGATTTCAGCTACTGTAATTTACCTTTGTGTAAAGTAATTTATCTGTATCATTAAGTATTTTATCTTCTCGGTAAAATAGTGTATCATTTAATAAATTTAACTATAACATTTCATAAGCCCTACCCAGCAGTACGTTTATAGATCTGGCTCACTCATTTCAACAGAGATGAAAGACTGGAATTTGTGAAGCTCGCAGTGAGCAAAGCCCTTTTTCTTCCATATTACACCTAATCTCTCAATTATCCCAATTTTTAGTGCTGGTCATATCTTCCTTGGGACCAACAAGCCGGTCAGTCTTGCTGCTCAAGCGTCTCGCCCTGCTTCCAAACTTTCTGAACATTTAGGAGGAAGAAACCCCTAAATAGCTGTGGTTTGTGATACAGTAAATGCTGATAAAATTCAATACAGATTTCCCACCAGGGACCTAGCCTTAGGAACTGGAGGTGGAATAGTTCCAGTATGTTGCATACCCCTCAAAACTACTGTTGCTTGGACCAGGGAGCTGGATGCTAACACCACCGCAGCTTTCTTGCATGTTAACCTATCACTGTGTTTATCTCATCTCAATTAAGTGTTTGAGAATTTACACAGCAAAAAATGATTAGTTTTTTTAAATTAAAAAAAAATACTTAAAGCTCTTGTAGAACAAGTACATGGGAACAATGCCCCAAGTAATTATAGTACAGACATTTTGAAATATTTAAGTGGAGATACCTTGTAACAAGGAATTAGAAATGCTACCATGACAATTTCCTGGTCTATCTCAGAAAATCAAGTAAAGCAGATTACACAGTTGAAAAATGAAAAAAAAGAAATTGTTTTTAAGATACATTCAGTAACTGGTAAACAATTGGTAATATTTTAAACCTAAATTACATCTTGAAATTCTATCTTCATGAAATACATCTGAATAAGTTTCAGAGTACTTAGTACAAGTGAAAACATTTACTTGGAATTTAAAGTATCTATAGCAACGTGAGCAGTTTTCTTACGTTAAGTAATACAACCACTGCCTCCTACAGGACATTCTGAAGTTTTACAGTGCTCAAATGAGGGAAGAAGCAGCCCACCAACCACAGACTCTGCTTGTTTATACAATTTAAACCTTAGTTACATAGTGCTTTTGTAAGAATTTTTTCACAGGCTTGAATTTAAAGCATTGAAAAAAAGCAAGTTCTTTTGATGAAAAATACTGCTTTTGTTTCTACAGAACTTTTATTTCACTCTTCCCAGAAAAAAATAACTGCATTATACAAAATAAATGGTTGCACAGTATTTAGCCAGCAACCCTCTATGGTGCCAGCAACTGTGTATGTACAGAACTTTAACTAGTATTTGATGGTAAGTGTTGTTTAATCTGTTTAAAAAAAAAAAAAAAAAAACACTGTAATCAAAATACATTTTTTCTCTTAAACTATGAAAATCTTTATTCCTCTCAAACTTTCCTAGCATACTCAGCAATGTCAGTTAAGTAAGTGCCAGTCTGAAATCAGAAGACACTTGTATTATTTTCAAGACGACAGTAGCTATATTACTACGTACATTCCTTACCTCTTCCTGTTGACTTCCATGACGGGAACAGGGGGCTGTTCTCTGCCTGGCTTATCCGTGTCAAACAACTGAGCCTTACAGCCTGATAGGCAGCCTATGAACAAAGTTACCGAATCAGCTGTAAGGATTCTTTACATCAATACCTAACTGCTTACATCAATAAAATGACTGACAGAGTTGCAGGTTCACAAGCCTTACCAATGCTCAGCAAGCACGGAAGCTGAAGTACAATTTTGGTTTCATTGCATGTTTAAAAGCACTTTGTCTCGATACAGATCATTTGCACGTGTCATGGCAAATTAAACATATCTAATGAGAAGCATCCCTCAGGGAACAGTATACTTCAGACTGCTGCTGCTGCAGCGCCACCCAGAAAGGCCACCTCAAGGCCAGGCTGCTTTTAGGGCAATGCTGTCCTTACGATTAACGTTTCCCAAGCAATAACATAGTCTAGACAAACCTACTAACTCCCAGAGCAAGCATGTTTCTTCCTTCTGTCCGATGCTGAGTTTAACCACGTACAATATTCTCTCATTATTAGCTGCAAAGACATACACATGCATACATTACAAGACAAACCCACTTCCACCATGGACATGAAAATACTCTGTGCATACTGAAAGTGCTGACATCTGAAATTCAGTCCAAAAAGCCCCAAAACAGTCACAGTTCTCTTTCGTTTTAACTCCACAAGACAAGTTGTGTTGTTTTTTTTTTTCTCTTTTAGAAGCAGCAATAGGACTACATCTTAACACACTAAAGTTACTTTACTATTTAATATATAGAAGATATATTATCATTTAAACAAAAAAAATTACAAGGTATGATATCTAGAAGATATAAAAATACCAATGTCAAATTTTAATTTAAAAAAAATAGTAAACTTACAGTTTTCTTACTAGAATATGTCTGAAGACATTTCTTAAATTTGGGATTTCCACCTTCTTTTTAAACCTCAGTAACAAAGGAACCAGAGTTCATTAACTTGATGTACTCTATATTCCTGCAGATAGTTATGACTTAAATTTTTGTAATATTTCTTTACAAACTTGACAAATTCTTTGGAAAATCTACTCACACCCTTAGAGATACTTAGGAGGAGTAGATATATCACGCTTTGTATGAAAATTATTTTTTTTCCTGGTATGCTTTTTCCTTTCTCTGGTTAATTGAACAGGAAAACTAGAAATGTAAGGTAGCATGTTGCATACTAAACTCTTACCTTACCAAAAACATTGGAGAGCATGTATCCAGTTTTTCTTACAACATTAACTTTGCAATCCTCCCATACACAATCAGAAAAATCAGCTAACTCACATTTCTCTTCAGAGGAAGTCCGTATTTCTATTTCAACGCTGTGATCGCACCCACACACTCGCCCATAGTACCTTTTAAATTTTTTTTTTCTTTAAAGAGAGACCTTTTTTTGTTTTGTTTAAAAGAGATCCTCCTTGAAATATACAATGGATGCTTTGTAACTTTTAGAAGTTAACGCTAAAAGGAGGAAGCAAGCTAGGGAAGTGAATGAGGGACAAAGGACAGCCTGAAGGGAGCTTCCCAATTTCTCTGGGAGCAGAGGAAGCCCCGGGTTTGGGACCACAAACCAAGCCAGCCCTGCAGAACTGGCTGAGGACTGGGAGGCTGCACATGATGGCCCTAAAACACCCAAGGGGTGCCCATTTCTCAAGTAACAAAAGGACAAATATGATACTTGGCAGGCAGATCTCCAAGAGGCGAGAAGGCCCGAGATCCTCAGCTCTTTTTCGGCTCTGGCAACCCAGGCTAGCTCCTCACCACACCCTCCCTTCTGAAACCATAACCTGAGCCCTCTCCTACAGCACAGCTGCAAGACCAGCCCTCTTCCACGACAGAGGGAAATCTGCTGTACTGCATTCAATATACATGACAGATTGGGCAGATTCAATACAATTTCTGCGACACTGACATTGGTTAGAAAGGGTGGGAAAGCCAACCTCTGGCTAGCCTCTCCTCCCCAGAGCCCCCTACTCCCTTCCTCCCCGAGGATGCACTCATAACCAGTCTCTAATACAAGTACGCATCTATATGGACTGCTCTGATGATTAATTATAACATCCAAGTGTATAAAAAACCACACCAAACATTCTAAGAAACCTCTGAAGATTTACTCAATTTGCATGTATGAAAAATGCAACATCAAGATGTAGCTTTACAACTCATCTACTGTAAATAACTTCAGTCTGCTGCACGTGTCAGATGCTTTTTCATTGTTGCTCTCTAGTTTTGCAATCCGAGATCCAAACTGCACAGCCCTTTTTGGCAAAATGGTTGAGGCTGTAAGGCCAAACTCCGTGGCTGCAAGGCGCAGAATCAGTTTCTCACCAATTCCTCGAGGTAAAGTCAAGTCAGCTTTTTCCGAGATGGGCAGAGAATTGAGGAATGAAACAACATCTTCGTCGAGAAAAGGAAACCTAAAAGGAAGACATGTATGGGAAAAGACCCTTTAAAATCTTCATACAAGTAGTCTTTGTTTTCTTCTTTACCACATGCGAAGACTTCAGAGTCTGTGCCAATTCCTAACTACAAATGTACCTTAAATATTAAGTGTCATAGTACTGAGGGAAGGCTCCAAAGCAGTTACACTGTCTCGGAGAAAAAAATATCATATACCATGTTTAAGCTCAGAAGCCTGGAATTTTTTAAAACTTGTGCAAAGAAAAAAGTAAGAACAAGCATCAGAAATGTTGGGTTTATACAAAAGAAAAATTATAAAGAAAATTAGAAAATACAATGGAAGAGCAGGACAAATTTTAAAGTAACACTTTTCTAAGTATTTAAAAATATTGTATTAAGCTACACTGTAACTTTGAAACAAAAATATTTACACAACAAACTCAGGCAAAGTTCCCACTTCCAGGTATTCATATCTAATCACAAGCATGATTAACAGCATTGCCTGTCCACCACTGCAACCACTAAACTGAAAATGTGCAACTAAGAACAGATTTGAAAAAACACTGGTACGAAGATCACATAAGACCTTTCATGCACCAGAGCAGACTCTGCTACGATACTTAAGGAATTTTTTTGCAAGATGGCAGTAGGATGGAGGAAGTAAACACAAATAAAACAATTATTTAACTATTCTGACTTAACAACCAGGAAATGCAGTGGGTATTGATCGTGCCTTATTGCATGGACAGGAATACACAGCTTCTATGTTACCTTGTCATTCCCCAAAGTCACTCCCCAAATGACCACACCAGAACATTTCAAAGTTGCGCAGAAGACTGTTCCACTTAAAATGATAAAACCAACTCAATTTTAACTATTTCAACAACCATTGCTGCTTCTTAAAACTTCCATAGGGAAATCCAGTGTTCAAGTTGCTAAATATCCTTAAGTAACTCTTCCACAGTCCTACAAACCACTTCTTAAAAAAACAAAAACCAAAAAATCCCTAGAACACAGTACACATTAACAAAACTGCAACAGAACTTAGAAACAACATAAAATGCATAGAAATTTCAATTAACATTTCTGCTGGAGTGTTAAAAGCAGAATATAACCGGCAAAACCAGTTTTGCTTCATGTTAAAACAGTAATACCTGGCTTCTTTTCCGTGATCACCAATAATTCTATCATCTCTACCAAGATTTCTAGAAGAAATGCGATGCAACTCCATTTCAAGTTCTTTATTCAGACCCTCTAAGCCATGTTTTTTGAAGCAAACACGATGTCGAGAATACCCAGCGAGCTGTTCATCTGCTCCAATTCCTGTAAGCACAACCTAAGCAAAGAGAGTAAAAGAAATCTTTCTTATTATCTATGCAAGCTAATACTATGTAACAGTTCTTAAATGTTTAACTACCTCTTAAGGAGAATAACCTTATTAGATATTTTCTATTTATATTACCTATCATGATGGGATGTGCCTTATACATTTACAGAGCCTGAAACAGTTCCCAATAAAGTCACTGGAAACTTAAGTAAGTTCACAATCAGACCTAGAAGTACACACAAACATTTTTACCGAGGCAAGGAAAAAACACCAAAATAACGTTGTGTGCATCACAAATACACCAGTACCTTTGAAGAACATCTTTGTTAGTTTCTATTATAATAAGCAGCATTTGTTAAACACCAGCCTGTATCAAAAAAGTTGCTGCAGATTACGCAGTATGCTGTAGGTTCTAACTATTCATCTGAATGTACCCAGATTATTATTAATTTACCAGCCATTGCGTTAATAACAACTGCGTTACATGAAATAAAAATGTGTCATTGTTCTGTCTACTCAATGATAAGCATATAAAATGTTATCAAGAGAAAACCACTACTACATCTGGTCCATTACTGTGCCTTCCACAGCAATTCACTACAAAACTGGAAGTCTCTTAAAATAGAGTCAATTGTGTTTTACTGATGTGACAATAGCAAGCACTTAACTCATTTTCTACCTGTGCACACTAGCAAGTAACTAATGGGAAAGTGACAATTTCACTTTATGTTTTATTAACTCATGACTCATTTTAACCTATTCTGGACCTAAGATGAATTTGTATGTTTTGCAAGTCTGACACACACATCAAGTAGATCAAACCATCAGCAATGTTCTACAGCAGTAGTCTTTATGCAAATCATTGTGTTTGTTGGGGTTTTTGTTGCTGGTGGCTTTTTGTGTTTTTAAGCTTTAGCAATTAGCAGAAAAGTAATAGAAAAGTCAAAAAGCAAAAGCATTAGCGAATTGCAAACTCCTGAAATTAAACAGTTTATTCTTCCCTACACAAACCATCTGGAATTGGGAAGCAAGAAATCCAAAAAAATCATCTAGTTGCTAAAAAGATTTTACTTAAAACTACATACATGAAAGTAAGTTACAAAAAAGAATGAATTCCTTTTGTAGTTCTGTCATTCAATCAGACTAATTACAAAAGATTCCAAGTAATCACCTTTTCTGCCATTATTAGCTGAAATTTTGTCACAGCGTGCCTAAGTAACAAGCTAGTAATCTTCCAGCTGCTGGGATGTTGGCACAAAACAATACTACTCAATACTTCATTAATGTTTATCTCTAAATTTGTTATCCTATTTAGTTTTGAATTAAATAACAGTTACCCACGACTGGACTTGAAACACCAGAAATGATAGATGATGGTTGCTATTTTTTTCCTAGTCATGCTGTTGCTTATACAAGCTAAATGAGAAGCCATACACATCGCACAACAAAAGAACGGAATGCAGCTTTTAACTCCAAAATTTCACAAAGATTATCAGTACAAACTATTCTATATTGTGCCACTGAATTTCAGAAGCCTTATTAATATTAAAGACCCCTGCTGATTTCTGAAACAACAGAACTGTTTTTACATTCACAGGTCAAGTGTAAGGCAGAAAACAATCAGTACCTTTGCAGGACTTCTATATGGTTTCAGTTCTCCTTGGTTACTAATAAAACCCTCTCCTCTGGAAGCAAACCAAATTGCACAGCCAATGCTGTCATCCAAGACTGTATCCAGTGGATAAATTAAGTGATGAATGCATTGTTGTCTCATTTTTTTCAATTCCTCTAGTGTAACATTAATTTCCACAAAGTTCCAGGTTCTTGAAGGGTTAATGGCTTCTAATTCTTTCAGTCCTGCCCTACCAGTGATTCTGTCGGGAACAGCAAAGCAAGATAAATGAGCACCAGTGTTCGCATCAAGATCTTTACAATCTTCCTGAGGACAAAGCAAATCAAGCTCCAGTTCCTGGTTGGTACATTTTTTGGTGGTACCCTTTTGCTTAGCTTGTTCTTTTACCATGAAAGCTACATTGAGAAGATCAATTGGTTCCTCCAAAGGCACATGTTTATCCGCAAGGGCCGCAATAACCATAGAATCAATGCCACCAGAGAAGAGCACTGCAATGTGTGCTTTCCTATTAGAATTGCTTGGAACCCCTCTTGTCTTCTGATCTTCATCTCTAAAGAGAGATAAAACCCGTCTCTTCACTGCTGCATTTAAAACATCAATAAACTGATGGACTAATTTTTTCTTGTGTTCCTGTGCAAGAAATCCTTGAAGAGTTTCTACAGAAACCATATGGGTAATTTTGCTAGTATTAGTGCCTGGACATTCACCTGACACTTCAGAAACTGTTTTATTTAAGGGGATAACTGGTGCTGCGAGACACAGTTTTGATTCATTCATCATAAGAGATACGTGGTTCGGTAAGTCTTTTGAAACTTGGTCCATAACATTAACGAATACTTCTTCTCCTGCTTTCTCTGTGCAGCTGTACTTCCATGGAAACAAGGTTAAAGACAAAGATTTAGTTGCTGCACAAGCTTTGAGATCAATTTTGAAAATTCCAGATGCTGGGACTTCTTGCCATTGGTTACCCGCTTCGGAATAAACACTTACTGATGTGAGACAGAAAGCACTGTCAACCTCATTATTGAATTGCCAAAGCAAACTACGACGACCAAAATAATCCCTACCAAACCATAAACTGTGTCTAGATGCTTGATAATAAATAAAAGACCATGGACCCCGAAGTAATGAAAAAAGTGACAAAATGTCTGCTTCACTACTGCATAATGCAAGATGATGAAACATTACTTCAGTGTCATTCTCCAGATCTCCTACATGCACTCCACTGAAAATTTCTCCATTCCAAAGAAAAATATTGTTATTGGCATCTTCCAGAGGCTGAGGAGTCACCAGTCCCCTCAAATGAAGTACATGGCCAGAAAATAGACACTCGTAAGAGAGATCAGATGCAGTTTTTATCAACTGTTGGCTACTGTCTGGTCCTCTTCTTCTAAGACGGCAGCATATGTCTTTGTTAAAGAAATCATGAATAGCATGCTGGCTACCCAAGGTAACAACGCAACAAATACCACACATTGTGACTCTGAATTCAGATGTACTATTTCTTGCTTTTAGTCTTCTCTGAATTTTCCATCTCCTGATGCGCCTTCTTTAATTCATCTAACATATCTGTGTAAGAGAAAAATACATGAATAATCAGCTTTGTAAACTGGTAATTGTCTAAGTAGTTAAATTTAAGCATATATCTAAGAAATTAGTAATTCCAGCCACTTGTACAATTAGAGAGATAAGCATGAAATGCTAAGTAACAAAAGTGCTATAGTATAATGTAACACAAACATAGCTCACTGTAGTTTCTTCTTCTTTAATTATATAAAGATTTATTTTTTTTTCCTCCCAAAGAAAGATACACTGTAAGAATCAGGGGAATGGCTAACTGTTGCCTATATAAGCAATATCATTTACACATTTGTAATAAGTGAACTGTTAATTAAAATGTCAACATTATTAAAGAATATGAAAGTAGCAATTGTTCATTCAAAAAAATAAACTTATACTTTTAAATTTATACATTTTTAACATTTGTTCAATTATAAACTCTCTATCATCTGTTCTTCTACCTTCATAATCTGAAAGATCCATTCTCTCAAGTACCTAAAGATTTCTAGCTTAGCCTCCAGTTTAACTTGTCAGTATTTTAGTCTTACTCATCCCATGCAACTTTTCGACTTTTGTTTCTTTTAGGGACAAAGCACTACACAGCTTCCCAAAGGACACCAAGAATTGTGACTTCTCTGTCGTCCTGCATCTTCAGCACTTGCTCTTTTATCACATCCGTATATCAAGTGGAAACACTTTCACATTTATCCATCTCAGAAAAAAAAGCATGTGTCTGAAGTCTACTTTGCATGTGATATAAAACAGTTGCCAGGTTTTCATTTTAATATGCCTCTGAAATCATTAACAGCTGCAAATGCATCTTTTAAATAGTGAACTATTTGATCAACTTTTATACTGTAAACTTACTTTTGCACTGAGATAGTGTTTCGGTTCGGTCTACAAGAAAGAATATGTTGCTATTGGGTTGCTGCCTATAAACTTTCTGTAAAACAAAAGCAAGGCTGTATTAAGTCAAAGCAACAAACTTGGGCAACCACATTGCAGCAGAAACTGACACAGGTCCACCAAGAAAGCCCTTCACTTTTCTGCCAGGAGGATAAGTTCTGCCCTGACAACAGCAACATGGTACTGCTGTAGCATCAAAAATATTTCATGATCAACCCATGACTATTCTGCATTTCTCTACTTCTCATGCATGAGGGATCACATTCTATTTTAAAACAGATATACATGAAAAGTAAGACTATTTCATGAAGTCTTCTGATCAACTCAAACATCTCAATGAAATAACTCAGATAAAACATAAAAAAGCAAAAAATCCCCAGAACATTGTGTTACACTGCACAAGTGTACATAATCAAATCAACTGGAGGACAAATTATTCTGAGAACGGCAGACAACATCTATACTAAAATCCGTGTTAAAACAAATTAAAGACAGTGTATTCCAATTTTGTTTCCCCTCTTGTCTCTATGCTTATTGCTTATCTCTCTGATGCTAAAATGGAAATAGTCAAAACCAAATTCTTAAATACTTACCCGGTTCTTCTTCAAATTAGAAAGCTCATCAACTACAACCTTCTGCTCTTTAATCTGAAAAGCAAAAGATTAATGTCAATTTAAGTGTTAAAAATAAACCATTGTGTTATAATCCTGGTGGTAAGCAAGCTTACTATTATTTTAAGACATCTACAAATAAAGTTGCTGTTCTTCCAATGGACCATTGAAGACAAAGTAGAAGTAGATATAAAAATAAAATACTAAATATCCGGTTTCTAGAACAGTTATCTTGCATGGATTGATACTTCTCCTACTCTTGAAAGCAATCACTACTAGGAAGCCAGAGTACCTCTAGCTATTTGTAATCAGAGATCACATTTTTCCCCCAGACAAAAACATGCAAACAACTAATAAAACATCAAATAACTTCAGAAAACAAAATTTAGCATAGTATCTACAACAGACTTTATAATCACAGGTGTTTTCTATATTCAAAATGAAACCACTAAAAACCCCAAACCCCTAAAACTGCATTAAGAGCAATGGAAGCCCTTCTGTTGCTCTGGAGTTTTGCACACACTTCCTTACTGGGATTTACCAACCTGTTCAACTGCACTGGCAGAGGTGGCAGGTATTCCCATTTCCTTTTACAATGACGACTGTCAATGCTAAAGAGCAATGAGGAGGATCGTCATAAAAGCCAACAAATGGAACAAAATCTGGTCTGCAGGCAATTAATGCTTTTTGTTAAAAACAAACAGGATGGTTTTCTTTGTTCTGCCTTTGTGTCTCCTGGAATTGGTGAAAGAGTAGAAGGCTGTCCCAGAGCTAGGTTAGCCAAACTGCATGTGGCATACAAAAAAGACAACTTTTCCAGCAGTTACATCAACATCAATCTTGTATTCCCAATTCCAACCGACAAAACGGACTAAACCAGCCACTTAAGCATAACAGAAACTACAACCTGCAATACAGTTATGTCCAAGCTTTATAGCTTTCCCAGCCATCAAAAATACCACTGATCTTACATAACATGGCCATATAGAAGGAAGTAATTTTTTGAGGGAGAGCAGTTCCACGGGACTTGGCAGATTTCATACTAAACAAAGCTATTCTCACCAAAGAAAACAGCAGATTTATGAGGAGTGCCAGCCTCTGTGACTGAAATCCTTTGGGATTTTCTGAGCAACTACAGCCGAGGTAGGTCTTTTTCACAGAGAAAGACGACTCACCGGCCGTTTCAAGCTCCACTTGGAGCAGTAAGAACCAAAACCACCACCTGACGAGAGCTCCCAAGGACGCCAACAGCTCCGCAGGCGACAGGCGCTCTCCCCCCAGCCCAACAACGAAAAACCCGCCTCACAGCAGCCCCAGCTTCGCGCCGGGACTCGCCCTCCTCTCTCCGCGCCGATCACACCCGAGGCTACAGGCGTGGCGTGGCGTGGCGTGGCGTGCCGTGGCGTGGCGTGGCGTGGCCACCGCCCCCCGTCCCCCCCCCCCCAGCACGGCCCGCTCCCTCCCTCCCTCCCCGCCGCCCGCGCGGCAGCGGGCCGCCTCAGCTCACCCTCCGGCTCAGCTCCTCCTTGCGGCGCAGCTTCGCGCTCTCCCCCCGCTCCTCCTCTTCCTCCACCTCTTCCTCCCCCACCTCTTCCTCGTCCTCCTGCCGCGGAGCGCGCCCCGACATCCCGCCACCGGCAGCCACCCACCACCGCGGCAATGGCGGGGACCGGGGCGGGGGCGGTGGCGCCGCGCGCAGCCGGCCCACAGCCGCGCGTGCGCGCGCAGGCGTGCGGCGGCGGCCGCCGGCGGCGGGAAGGGCTGAGGGGGCAGAGCTGAGGGGGCAGAGCTGAGGGGGCAGAGCTGAGGGGGCAGAGCTGAGGGGGCAGAGCTGAGGGGGCAGAGCTGAGGGGGCAGAGCGGCGCCGCCGCCGCCCGCGCCGCCTACGGGGAGAGCTATTACTTACAAGCATTAAGATTATACGTTTTCCTCTTTGGTAGGATGGTGTTAATATTTCTCTGTCTTTCCCATTCTACTACAGATATATCACAGTGATGCGTCTGCCTTTATAAATACATCAGGGAAGACGTTGTTAAAGTGGCGGGATGATGATGGGACAAGGACAAACAGCATTACCGTGATTTGCTATCTTACATTAATATATGCTGAGAAGTGGTAAAAGAGGCCAGTTACTGTGGCAAAAAGGTTTTGAAAATGTCTTCCAGTAGTGCCAACGAGGAACAAATAACATAAGGATAGAGTTAGATTTGCTTATGAAAGGAATTTTGCGTTCTGATCACTGACTTAACTGGTGAATGAACTGAGTATCTCAGGAAGGCAGAAGTCTGCTGATTTTCATGGAAATAGACCATATAAATGAGTATTAGTGGATATCAGTGGGGAGTTTGGGCAAAACTTTGTCAAGGTTGTTGATGTAGGAAGATTACAGTTACTCTTTGGTCTCACATTATCTCTTTGTCTCTTCTTAAATATTATGTAATTATTCTAAAGACTCAAGAGTCATTCCACACTTACAGACTGCTACTGATAGCTCAGGTGGGATAGAAATCTCATCAAAACCTACAAGTCATTGTGCTACCAACTGCGCTGCAAATACTGTGCAAATCTTCATGAATTATTTGGAATATTTGCTACTTGAACTAAAGTCAGGTAGGAGTGTTGGCTTTTGCTGCTTTGTGATTTGTGGCTCACATAATCATACATGTTATGTATTTTGATAATACTTAGGGCTTGTGAGCAAGATTACACCTTGTTTTGGTGGTATCCATGAGCTGGGTTGGAGTGTCTGTGATGTTCAATGGAATTTTTGGCAGTGGTGTAGGGAAAATAAGGATTTTGGCTCCTAGTAGAAGCATGGGAAAACACAATTTGGCTATAAGGATATCGAACAATATGGTAACTTGCAAATATTATGCTTATTTGCCCTTAACAGAAAGAGGAACAGAGGTTAGGGTTTCAGAAAAGGTCAGTCTTGCTCTTCTCCACCCTCAGCCACACGGTTCTGCCCCCAGCCTTGCATCTGTGGGGCTGCATGGTGAGGCCAGTTAGCCCGCTGGGCCAGCTTCCTCTGCAGCGTGCCCGTGCTCGTGGGCTTCTGGCAGTCCTGAAGCAGATTAACTGACTCTACCGAGGAACTGTTGCCTAGGGGTTGAAGAGGTTCTGGGGCTTGTCCTTCAAATTCTCTAAGAAATACACCTGCCTGGGTCACATACAGTGCTTTAGATGCTATTGCTCAGTGCGCTTTGTAGTTTGTCACTCTTGTTTAATCTGAGTACCGCCCAACCTTGTGCTGCCTCAGTGTTTTATTTGCTGGTAATATGTTACAAAGGTTGATGATCAAGTAACCCAGTAGTCAAAGTATAATTTCTGTACTGATGATCCTTTTCATGTTCAGTAATAAACACTGTTAATGTTTATTAATCAAAAATTCCTTGCTGTTCCTGAGATTGTTTTGTTGGTTGGTTCATAAGAGTGATGATAATGGTCTTGAGACATAATAGCAAATGTGGAATGTTTTCAACTTCTGGTTTTATCACGCATTGCTGATTCTTCTACTGATACAGAATGTGCTTTTGATAAGTCCTTTTTAAAATGAATGGGTTCCTGTGACATAATTACTCCTGAAATTACCCACATTCATACCCACAATAAGAGCAGCTGCGTTTAAAAAACTCAGCAAAGGAGAAGGTCAGCACCTTTTATCTCCCGATGCAGAGCCGTGACATCTTAATTCAACCTTCTTTCAGGGCTGCTGTAGCTCTGTAGTTTGCGGTGTGCTTGCACTGTTCCCCATGAGAGGTGGTGAGAGCACTCGACAGCTGATCTGGCTGACAACTAAGTGGCCAAGGTAGTTCAGTGAGACATCTCTGGTCAATCTGCCTGTGTCTGTGCACTTTGCTTGTGCCACCTCTGGTGCTCTGAACTATTTCTAGAATAAAACTATTTTTGGGAGGTTAATAATGCCCGACACAATGTTAATACAATATCAGGGAATATTTCAGAGCCTTTTAAAGTCCTTACCTTTTCGGCATCTGGGATCTTTAAAATATACAAACCAACATAAATTACCCAACAAGCACTGTTAACAATTACAAAACCGTAAGCAGTTACTGATGCCAGAAAATATTTGAAGTTGCCATCACATATTAGCAAACACATGACCAAAACAATATCCTTGAATAACTAAGCTCAAGCTCTGACAGACAGTTGTTATAAGCATGCTGAAAATGTTAGGTTGTCCTTCTGAAAACTGCTATCAGTCCTGAAAACCTCTTTTCAAGATGATGGCAGTACATTTGTGTCAGATGATATTATGGATATGAGAGATAGCATTGATAATGCTTTTGGGGCTTAGCAATACCATGTTTCTGTGCTTTGCTGTGGGCTAGAAATCTGCATGTAGTCAGTTCTACATCTAAACTGATGCTTGGTAACATGTTAAGCTACAATAACTTGATTGTGGGTTCAAACTTGAGTCATTTACTAGGTTCAGGTGTAAGTGACTGATCTGAGGAAACCTGGCATGCTTTAGAAGAACCCTGTGAAGGTCCTTGGAACTGGATGGTACCAGAGCAGTTGTAGCTCTAATATTGGCCACAAGAGAGCAAGCCAAAGCTGTGCTGGCTGTTTGGTGAATCCAGAGATAGCCAAAGAAAGAATGGAGTCTGGGAGATAAGACAGGTAGATGAGGTCTCTAGAGGGGGGAGAGCATGGTCAGAGAGTATTTGTGTTTATGTTTTTTTGTCTTTTTTGGAACATTTTTAGTTTTGATGCTAGGTTATTTTGTATTCAGACATTGTAACATCAGAATCCATGTGCATAAATTCTGAGGTGTAACATTAACTTCTAGATTAACTTCTCAGTTGAACCTGTATTTTAATAACTTCCTAACTCATACCAGTCTAAGACAATTCAAACTGCTGAATTTAGTTGGGTTTGCTTTATAGTAGTCCTGCTAATTTGATTGAGACATTAGGATTTGAAGGGAGTTAGGTTAGTTTACACAATGGGGTATCTGGATCTATGTGCCGGAATCTATGTAAAGTTGTAGTTTGTTTCCTTAGGATAAGTATCTAGATTATCAATTGCACAAGAAACCTTGCAAACCATTCTACTTTAAAAGTCCTGTTACTGCAAACAAAACAAGAAGTATGAGCACTTTTATGAGTCAGTTTTTTCAGCATTTACTTATGAGACACTATTAAAGAAATCTGAGAACTCATTTGCACAAAAATTTTGCGTAGGTCAGATGCATAAATTCTTAATTTTCTAATTAAAAACAGAATTTCATCACTTCCACAAGGAAGATTTTAAGGCTGTTCTGAAAATAGCTGAGAACTTGCATGGCATCAGTCTATCATTGGTTTTTACAATCTGATTGCATTCCTTAAAGCTTCTAAAAGTGCTGGACCAAGCAGCTTATTTGTAAAATACTCCCAGCACAGTCTTTTGCCCGATGATTTAAATAAAAGAGAGTTTAAAAGTAGACTTTTCCAAGTCCACTCTGTGTTCTTCGGTGTAAAACTGAAGTAACTCTAGTGAATACAAGGGCCTTTCTCCAGGTCTTAGGTTGCTGTAGCAGAGAACAGAGTTTGACCTTTAATTCTCATAATCTTTCCTTCCCTAATGCAGAATACCTTGTTGTGCACTTTGCCTAGAGTTTAAAAGAGAGTTGAGATGGTCATGGGAGTGGTAGTTTGACTTGGAAAGGTAGAATGAAAAGATTTTGTTTTGTCTCTTGTTTATGGACCTTCTTTTGTTATACAGAGTTCATAACCTAGCACAGCAGTTTGCTTTTAATAACCAACACACAGGTTTACTATGGTAACAGTCTAGTGTGAATATGGGATCACATTTCCAGATACA